TGTCTCTCACCCACCCTGTGGCTTCCTGACTGGGACTAGCTGCCTTTGGAGACCTGTGGCATGGTCTCATGGTGTGCCCATCTGTCTGTCTCTCATGGGACTGGCTGCCCCATTGAGGTCTCTTACCCACCACGCGGCTCCCTGCCTAGGACTGGCTGCTCTCGGGACCTGCTGCCCACTGCTGCCACTTGGGAACATGCAGCGTTTCTGCTGCTGCAGCTGCCGGGGATCTGCAGCATTTTACTTAATCCATTACAATGGCCACTGCTCTAAAAATAAAATCTGCTAGTTAATGGTTCTTAGGTCCCAATAATATCTTCTTAAACCCATGGGCAAGTAGGACCCATGATTGGGTCCTATCATTGCTACTTGTGAAGGGCAAATGTAGGACCCAGCCCTGACAAGCTCAAGAGAGGCCTGAGTCTCAGTAGTTTACCCTAAGACAATATCTGGTTCCAAGAAAGACCACAATCTGAGACCATCCAGGCACCACCCAGGAACAGACCATCCAAAGGAAATTCCCCTAATGTTCCAACCACTGTAGATAAGATCACCTGCCAGCATATACTCATTGTTTTTCACTAGGACACTCCTAGACAAATGTCAGTCAACCAGGGGTCCTGAACTTTAGAAATCCCTCACCCCCACATTTACTACTATAAAAACAAAACCCTAACTGAGCTCAGGGCTCTCCAACCACTCCAACACGTTGGACACACAGATAATCTGAGTTTGCAAACTTGTGTAAGAGTAAAGGCTCCTTGCTTTTACATACAGGACTCGGTCTCCTGGTTGGTTTTGCGGGGACTCCCATATCTGGGCATAACAGTTGCAACTTCTTGCCAACTCTCTATCTCCAAAACTATTTACATTACAATTTACAACAGTCATAAAATCAGTTATTAAAAAACAATGAAAATAATTTTAAGGTTGGGGTCAGCACAGCATGAGTAACTCTATTAAATTGTCACAGCGTTAGGAAGTTTGAGAACTACTGCTCTAGAGCAATGTTCTAGTTTCCTTTCTGTTGCTGTGATAAAACATCCTGAGCAAAAGCAACTTGGAGAGGAAAGGCTTTATTTTAGCCAACACCCCAGGCAACTGTCTATCACAAGGAAAGTTAAGGCAGGAACTCAAGCAGGAACTAAAGAAGGTCCCACAGAGGTAGGACACTTACTGACTTGTACTCTCTGGTTCAGTCTCAGCTAGCTTTCTCACACAACCTAGGCCCATCTGTCTACGAATTGTGCCACCCACAATAGGATGGGTCCTCCCATAGCAATCATCAACCATGATAATTGCTCATAGACATGAGCATAGGTTAATATGATTGTGCTAATTCCTTAACTGAAGTTCCCTCTTCAGTTTATTTCAAAATCTCTATAGTTTATTTCAATAAAGTTGACAATACAAACTAACCTGTAAAAGTAGAATAAATAAAGAGAAGAATCCATGATCCCAAAGCCTGCATCTCATGATTACTGCCCACCAGATAGTTAATATAGGCCATGACTCCCAATTTGAAAACTTCTTGTCTAAATCTGAACCTATCTTCAATTCCTAGCCCAGTCCCTGGGATTCTTCAAGTTTCCAAAGAGATTATCTTGTATTGGTCACCTATGCACTCCCAGTGTCTAAATGCTATTAAAAACAGGCCACAGTTAACAGGCTGTAGTTAAGCAAGTGTTGAGTGACTGAACTTTACGTATGAATATGTTTGTAACTTCTGGGAACTGCAAGCTCTAACAACACTGGAAAATAAGCCCCTCGCTGGGGCTTTATGAAGGCCACCTCTGCACAATGTTTTTCTTCTCTTCCCAGGTTCTCTGTAACAAGGCACAGTCCATTACTTATCGTAAGAGAAGATCGGGCTGGTCAAGAGACAGAGGTCTACTCTGTGTTCTAGAAAGCACTAGAACTTGGTGCTCAAGCAGGCCCTGCTCTGGCCCTGTTAGGCCTATCATTAAAAAGAGAGTATCCCCCCCTTTTCAGTACACAATATTTTGTTGTTACAATTTTAGCAAATACTTGGATGCAATGTTTATGGACAAAATTCTTACACGTTTGTCCTTTATTTCTATTTCAGTCACAGAAGTCCCTCTTCAAGGACAGTCTAGTTTCATGTTCTTTCATCTTTAAATTTGTCTTTAATATCTGAGATGATCAGACAGCTCCCTCTTCAGTCTCCCTGGCATCTTCACATCTTCTTTCTTTTTTCTTCTTTTTTTCCTGTAGTAGTTATTTAATATCTTTTGGACAACAACTTTCCAATACTTCTAAGGTCAACTTTCTATTTAAAAATCTCATGCGGCAGAATTATCATCATGCGACTTTCTTGTCTTTTCATTACCTATTTTATTATAAGCACTTCTTATCGCTTGCTATTTTCAAATTTAATACAGCCTTTTAAACTTTTCCTAAATTTTTATATTATACTATTTTATATATTATATACATTTCATATTATATTTAACAAATTTCTCTTATTGGAAAAAACTAAGTTATGTATTAGTCAGATTTCTGGAGAGAAACAATAGAACATATGTACATATATTTGTATATACATACATATAGGATATAGAAGTATGTGTTCATCTATGAACAGATTCATACACAAATGTGAGCCACAGGGAAACACAAATGGGGACAAGGAGAGAGACTTATTGGCTCACCTCATTATAAGGCTAGCCAGTTATAATGTCTGCAGGAGAAGGTGGAGACCCAGGAGAGTCAATGGTATACACTCGAGCTTGAAAGCCAGCGGTTGGTGAGATTCAAAAACTATGCTTTAACTGGAATCAGAAGGCAGAAAAATCTGGTATCCTAGCTCAAGTCTAGAAGCAAAAGTTCCTGCTTAACCTCAGCTATTTTGTTCTATCCAGGCATTCAAATCAAGGGGCAGAGACCCAAACACAAAAAGAGACAGTATTTTACTCTGCCTACCAATTCAAATGTTAATTTCACCCAGAAACACCCTTACTTATAAACTCAGAAAAACATCTGGACACCAGAAAAGCAGTGTGGAAGCAGCTGCTGAGCTGAATGCAGTGTTAGAGAATCTACAGTAGACAGAATTTTTAAGGTTATTGGCAGCTACATTTGAGTTCAAGGACAAGGCCATGGGTTCTGAAAAAAGAATCGTCAATAACAAGGCCTGACCTTACAGGTTAAGAGTGTTGATTTTGAAGCCAGAGTCTAGTGTGGGGCCCACTCTAGAACTAAAGTATCTTATATAACGGATTTTCTCTTCACTCTGTTTGAGTATAAAATGGAAAGGGTAATACTATTAATTTCACAGGACAGTTGTAAAGCTCAAGTTAATATATGTAAGTTATATACTAATTAATATAGAAATCCTAACAAAAAGTAAGCTTTCCAATGTTGTTGCCATTTTCCAGATAATCTAAATAGAAAACAATGCAGAAGACTAATTACAGGGATAATTCCTTCCAAGATCACTATTTTTAGCATTGAGATATTTGAGATACACCTGACTGGCCTCTTGGAGACTTGATAGAGTGGATCACGCCTGCAGGCAGGCCCAGTATGTAAGCAGTACCCCGGCCTGCTGTGTGTTCTCTGCACAAGCGCTGCCCCATCCCTTTAAAAGGCAGAACCCTATCTGCTTTCTCTCCTTCCTCTTACTCTTCTCTTATTCCTTCTCTCCCCAGCCCCCACCAGTCTCACCCCCCCCCCACCGCACACTCCCTTTCTCTCGCCCCTCTCTCCCTTTCCCCTCAATAAAGAAATCCTCCATGTGAGTGCTGTCTGCATGGCATGTCTGTCTCTCACTTACCTTTGCTCCCCTTGTCTCCACCCCACCAAGGTCTCTCTCATGCCATTTTACAACAAATATATCATAAAAAGTCTTTGACTTTCCTTCCAAGATCACTATATCATAACAAATCTTTGACTTCAGAAAAAGAAATTCTGATTTTTAGAATAAAAGAGCTCTCTTCCTAGAGTTGGGGAGATGGCTTACTGGTTAAAAACACTTGCATTCAGTGACCCCAGGGAGGATAGAAAAGGGTGTTGGGTCCCCTGACATTCAAGTTATAGATGACTGGGAGCTGTCATATAGGGGCTAGGAATCAAACCTTGGTCCTCTGCAAGAGCAACAAGTGCTCTCCTTCTCTGAGGTCAAAGATCTTGGAAGGACACTTTGGGCAGGGGAAGGAGAGATTTCACTTTTTCGTCATGCTTTCTCTTCCTATCCCTGGTAACAGTGACGATTCCCTCCAGGCCACTTGACTACAAGGAAGGCTAGGGTTAGATTAGTCAGCACCACCAGATCATTCCTAGTTGAGTGCCACTATGTGATCTGCAGAGGAAGGAATCCATCTTCCTGGGAACTGGGGTTCCATAAAACACCTGATTGCTTAGAGAATGAAGAAAACTTGGAGAGTGGAATGGCAACATGAGAAGGATGGTGAGCCCATTGGTAAGGCCAGAGTGAATGAAAGCCAATAGCCCAATAGATCTCTTAGATCAGACAATGGCTAAAGTCTATATTAACTATCTAAATGTTATATGTTAGGAAATACAAAAAATATGCTATACTAAAGACATAAGGATCAAGATGGCAGATTGAACACATTTTGCCTTCCTTAATCTGTAAAGTACATAAAAATCAGTGTGTGTATGTATGTGTGTGTGTGTGTGCGTGTGTGTGTGTATATATATATATATATATAGAGAGAGAGAGAGAGAGAGAGAGGATTAAAATGAAAATGAGAACAGAGGCAGAGGGAAAGTGTGAGGATGGCAGCCAAACAAAAAAGTATTTGAATACGCTTATCCAAAGTAACACAGGTTGTTATGAGTCTGTAAGGACAAAACCTAGATGAGTCTGTAAAGACAAGTCTGGGGCAAGTCCAGGAGAAGCAGCACTAGCAGGAAGTGTGTGCAGTGATGATAAGTGCGACGTATAGGCAGACAGGAGTGTTAATCTGGAGTGTGACGTAGAAAAGAGTAAAGTAAGGCTGAAGAATAGTATAAAAAGTGAGGCAAAAGACCAGAAGGCATTCCCAAGATGATCTGCTAGAGACTCTGTCAGAGAGGCGCCAGAGAAGGTCTACAGCATTGAGAATCAATCAATCAATCAATCAATCAATCAACGAGACATTTGACCAGAGATCTTCCAAGAGCCAGAGAAGAAGCTCTTACCTGCAGATCAAGACTTGCTGATCCAGAGATCTACGTCGAGAGCCACGAGCCATCATCAGGTTGTACACCCCAGTGCCTTATTAGATAGAATATAGTAATGCTTGCCTAGGATTTATATATGTGCTTGTGTGATATTATATCCTTGCCTGTTATGATGATATTTGCTTATTAGCTGTGACAGAACAACTGTAAGATCTTGAAGTGCCTATACAATAAATGTAGTTCGGACAAAGCAAAGAACTGCTATTCTGAGTGTCATTCACTTGCAGACCTCTAAGTGAGGCCAGAAGGCCCACTCAGTAGAGCTCACGACACAGGTAGACGTGTGCTCACACACTAAACTGAAGTACTTAGTCTGCAGACAGTTTTAAGGAAATACTAGACTAATAAAACCAGACTTGACAAAAGCTCACACCCAGGAGGTAAGGGAAGTAAAAGTTTTAAAAACAATTGAAGATTTGTCTCTCAGCTTTCCTAATCATAGGAAAGGGGTCTGACAGCCCAGTACTTACCACCAGAAAAAGATGTATCTAAAGAAATTAAGTGAACTAGTAAGGGAGAAAGAATGATTAATAAAACTACTCCAATGACAATGTTAGCCCAATTGGTCCAAAATTTGGACTTTCTAAAATTCTTTCTTTTTTTTAAAAAAAAAAAAAGAACAAAAAAACAGCTCCCCATCAGCAAGCTGTCTACACAGAGTGCCTATCTGGTTTCACCAACCTCTTCCCAACCCATCCCTGTTCTTAGCTAAGAGCAGGTGTTTCAGTTGTCTGCGGCTGTATAACAGCTATCCCCAAACTTACACAAAACTACAGAAATACACAAGAGGAGCTTCGAAGCTAATTCTAGGAAGTGTGCAGTTATCTCTTAAAACTGATGCTGTAGAAAAGACAAGCTCTTGTAGCTATGGCGCCCTGGGAGGAAGATGCTGTGCTCCATTCAGAAGTTCCTCCCATGTGCCCTTGTCTGATCCACATTATGTTTAGTGCATTATTTGGCTAAGTCATGCCTGATGGCCTAGGCCATGCCAGTGAGGTTATTCCCAGAGCCTCATAAACAGATGTTTTCATAGAATCCACATGTGCCCCATTTGTAGTATTTTCTGTAATTTCCAGCAAGCTATTTTGAAAATACACATTTTAATCACTTGCTATGGTTTGGATGGGGTATAAATGTGCAATGACGGCTGATATGTGTGGTTGTATGCAATCACATTCTGTTCTTTGCCTGTGTAAGGGTTATGATAGTGCCGAGGCTAGAAGTTTGGTTCCAGTGTGATAGGCTGAGGTGGTGGGGCTCTTAAGAGACGGGACCAGTGCAAGGGACTAATGCTGCTCTCACAGATAGATTACTTGAAAGAGGCCATCCAATGCTTGCCCACTCTGAATGTGGTTGATTCTTCCTGTTTCTCTGTCATGTTTGATGCAGCAAGGGGCACACCAGTGGGAAACCAATCAGATGGGGCCTGATTCGTGGCATTCTTCAGTCCCCCAAAACTGTGAACTAAGTGGCCCCTTATTTATAAAATATACACTATCAGGTATTCTGCCATGACAACAGCAAACACATGTCATTTAAAATATTTCAGTGGCTTCCCATTTCTCTTATAATAAAGGTAAATACCATATCTGCTGTGTCAACAAACTTCATTTCTCCCACCATCTAATACCTCTTTTTTTAAAAAAAAAAAAAAAAAGAAGAAGAAGAAAATTCTTAACCCTGATGCTGTAGAAAAGCTGCACTCTTGTCAGCTCTGACTCTCCCAGCACAAAGAAGCTTTCCTGGGGAAAGGACCAACTCTTGCTTGACCTGTGATGTTAAATAATGTTTCTAATTTTAGCGGATGGTTCGTAGGAAGAATAAGATTCTCTTCTTGAATATGGGAAAGTTATACACTGAGTTTTAAGCTATTGTTAATGGTTCCTATAGAGAAAGAATAAGTCCTGACCAAGACTTGAAGCCGCAGGGCGATTGGTAATGAAAAGTCCCCAGACTATCTTAATACAAAATATACAGCTTTAATAAACAGAAGTAAGACTTACAACAGCTTATACCAGAATCCAAAGGATCCTTCCGGACGCAGGAGCCAGGCGAAAGAGAGCTAGCAGAATGTGATTGGCTGAACTCCCCTATCAAAGACTGAAACAAACTACAGCAGATGTGTTAACTCAGGTCAAAACATAACCAACTTTAAAAGATTGTTAGTAACAGTGATCTAAAAAAGAGAAAGGCACATAATTACAGTTTTTAAGAATAACATATTTCCAAAGTTACAATAAAGGATGTCTTGTCTGAGGGTAATGACCAGCAAGCTAGAACTGTAGCTTATAGTAGGTATGCACTTAGCAGTTTCCAGGGCTCTGTGACAACAGGCACTCAAATCTCCAGCTAACTTCTTTTCCTAATTAAGCTCACTAAGTGCCCTCTTTTTTTTGTAAGGTGTTCTATTTCCATTTGCTAACAAAAAAAAATCAATTAAGTCAACCTAATGGTTAGCTTTCTCATGAAATTATTTAAGCAAATTGGCATTTTAAGGTTGGTCACTGGCCTCCCATGAGCTTCCTGGATGTGTGTTTATTATGAGAAGCATATTTAGCTATAATCATGCCGATAGTCAGGCCCATCATGAGTTTGACAAGGGAGAGCTACCTCAAGATCATTCTAGATGTCAACTAGCTTCCCAAAGGGAGATGCCAGAATGTTTTTCTAAAGTATATATTACATTAAAATGGAGACACATATGTGGGGAGTCTGGACTTCTCCCACCAGGTACTTACCTCATTCAGAGGACAGAGGAAGAAAGCAGTGAACTCAAAGAGAAATAGACTCACTTAATTGGACAATGGAGGGGGAAGTTAACCAAATCAATCAACAAATAGCATCTCAGAGACCTATGTGACCTTAACTAAAGAACATTTGTGTCACTGTGGTTGCAGAGGGAGAGGAGAAACAGGGAGGAACTGTAAAAGCAATCAAGAGCAATGGGTGACATCTTCTCAAACTGGGAAAGAGAAATTAACCATCAGAATTAGAAAGTTAAGTATTCAAAAAGATAAGTTCAAAGAAATCTACCCCAACTTAAACTCTTGAATACTAAAGATACTGGAACCAGCCAGAGGGAAATAATGCTTTACTGTAGGCAGAACTAATTCAAGTAGCTTTGCACTTAGAGATCACAAGGTCAAAATAGTTTGCTAAATGCTTTCCAAGTGCCCAAAAGTTCAGCCCAGAGTTCTATTCCCTGTCAAGGTTCTTACAGAAGGCAGGAAAAATTGACATTCCCAGATACAGAAAAACAGACACTGTTGCCTACAGACTTTCCTAAAACTAAAGCTAAAAGTTGTACAGACAAAAATAAAATGATACCAAAGAATCTCGAGTGATAAGGATGAAACCAGGTAAGCAAAAGTGTCAGTCATCAGGCTTTCTTTCCCCTCACACGTTTTCTGCATATGTTTGTCAGCTGAAGCAAAAAGCATACTATTGCCTGAAATATGGCTGTAAGCATGTTCAGAAGAGATGTTTAAGACAATTACAATATAGAGAGCAGGAAAGGGATACAATAGAAAGTACTTTACTCAAACTGGCAGAAATAATCTTAGTAGAAAGTTTCAGGGAATCATAGCCTAGGAACGATGTCTTAGATTTTTAGCATGACTGAGAGAAAGATTTGAAGAATTGGACTTGATGAGAACTGAGATGTTTTCTCTGCTACAGAATAGGAGGAAGGTTAGAAGTGATCTCTGACAAAGTACTAACATTCAACATATCTAAGCCAGTCAAGAGTCCAAGTACCTGGAGGAAGACTGAGATTTCAAGGCCACTATGGTCTCTGCAATGAGCAGACCAGTAACTACCATGTTATCCAGGAATTCTAATTTTTAAGCATTTACCACAAAAATGAAAAATTGTGTTCACACATGAATCAATGGATAAGGGTTGTTGAGATGGTTCAGCGGACAAAGGTTCTTGCAGCCAAGTCTGATGAATTGAGTTCAGTCCTTGGCGACCCACGTGATGAAAGGAGAGAACTGACTTCCACAAGTCATTCTCTGATCTCTGCTACTCCAACACTATGACATGTGCCTGCACATACATGTGTACCTGTATAAGTACTTATAGATAAAAGCATAATAAAAAATTGAACTATTCTATTTTTCTTTCTCTTGCCTTGATAAACACTCTAACGAGAACAACTAGGGGAGAAAAGGTCTTATTTTATAAGGTCCATCATGGTGTGAAGCAGGGCAGGAAGTCAAGGTGAGAACCTAGAGACAGGAACTAAAGCAAAAGCCATGGAATAATACTACTTACTGACTTTTTCTGTATGTCTTGCTCAGCCAGGTTTCTTATACAACCCAAGACTACCTATCCATGCCTCCCACATCAACCGTTAGTCAAGAAAATGTCTCCACAGACTTGCCTATATGCCAAGCTGATGGCTGTGTTTTCTCAACTATGTTCCCTACTTTTAGGTGACCGTAACATATGTGCATTTGAAAACAACAAAACAAAGACACCACAGCACAGGAAGAAACAATAGGTTGTAGGAACCAGCCATGACAAGAGCAAGAGAGGCCTGAGTCTCAGTAGTTTACCCTGAGCCAATACCTGGTTCCTATAAAGACCACAAACTGAGACTACCCAGGCACCACCCAGGAACAGATCATCCAAAGGAAATTCCTAACATTCCTACTGCTGTAGAAATGATCACCTGCCAGCACACACCCTGCTAATGTAGCTTTTCTGGGTTTTGCCTATAGGAATGCCCTCTCTAAGGGTGGGATACCTCCTCTTGCTGCTGTTCTGCCAGATGCTTTGATAAGGTCCCTGCTGGCTTCTGTTGTGCACATAATAAACCTTGCTTTTGCATTTCGGTGAGCTGGTCTCCCTAGTGTCGTTTGGGTTCCTCACTGACTGGGCATGACTGTGGTTTAGTCATATTATAAAATGCTATTTAGCAATGAAATATAAAAAACTATTGAACTATACAACAAAACCTGGATTAACCTCCAGAGAATTGTGTCCAACAAAAAAAAAAAGAAAGAAAAACTTA